TAAATATCCATGAGTCTGACATAAATAAGTGATTGAATAAATAAATGGAGGGGGGGATTATAGCTCTTTTTTACAGAATTCCAAACAATAACCGTAGAAGAAATGAGGAAAGTAATTACCATCAGGTAAACACCAATGTTTGCAGGCAAGAACTGTCCATGGATTCCAGTTAAAATTAGCAGGTATGACAAGTATGAGGAGAAATGGGACACTTGCAACACATCATGGCATCTCTCCATATATTTTTATTTTTGCTTCAAGTATAGATGTTTTTAAAAAGACTTTATTTTTTGCCTGAAGACAGAACATTTGGAAGGCAGGAAGAGGAGTTTGGGGGGAAATGTAAGGTTTACGTATTTTATAAAATAAAAAAATAAAATTTAAAAAATAACATAAAAAGATAATGAAAAGACTTTATTTTGAATTTGAATTTCTAAGAAGTCTGCTTAAAACCGCAGGTATTTATTTATTTACTTATGTTTATTTATTTATTTATCTTTGAGAGAGAGCAAGCAGGGGAGGGGCAGAGAGAGTGGGGGATTTGAAGCAGGCTTTGCGCTGAGAGCGCTGAGAGCGGGAGCCTGACGCGGGGCTCAGGGCTCAATCTCACCAGCTGAGATAGATCATGACCTGAGCCAAAGTTGGACGCTTAATTGACTGAGCCACTCAGGCACCCCTAGATTTTTTTAATCGAAGCATAACTGACATACAATGTTATATTAGTTTCAGGTGTACAACATATTGATTCGACAATTCTCTACATTACTAATGCTCATAATGATGTGTCGTCACCATCTGTCACCGTACACGATTACGTTATTATGAACTATATTCTTTATGCTGTACTTTTCATCTCCATGACTTATTTATAACTGGAAGTTTTTACCTCTTAATTCCCTTTATCTATTTCCACATATTTATTAATTACAAGGAGAAAAATAATTTTACAGTGGAGAAACCCAGCAAAGACCACTAACCAAGTGATCAAAGTTAACATCACCATCAGAAAGGTGAAACCATGCAAACTACTCAATGTGCAGACAGGACTCTCCGTGCACATAATTTTTACTTAATGATTTAAAGCAATTCAATGTTTTTGCTGCCATAAAGTTCAGTACTAAACTACCAACTGTGACAAAAACTTAACAAATGCTGTTTGATTTGAAGTGGGGTAATCACTAAGTAACTTGAAGCATATTTTTCCTAAGTTTTCTCTCTGTGAAAATTGTATGGTTTACAAATTATGAAAGAGCAGCCCAATTCTTCCCATCAACACTTCTATTACTGTATGATAATGCAAGATAAACTTATTATGGAAATTATATTTGGAAGCTGTCGTTTACAAATTCTGAAATTGACCACATTTAAAAATTTTCTTGTCGGGGCGCCTGGGTGGCGCAGTCGGTTAAGCGTCCGACTTCAGCCAGGTCACGATCTCGCGGTCCGTGAGTTCGAGCCCCGCGTCAGGCTCTGGGCTGATGGCTCGGAGCCTGGAGCCTGTTTCCGATTCTGTGTCTCCCTCTCTCTCTGCCCCTCCCCCGTTCATGCTCTGTCTGTCTCTCTCTGTCTCAAAAATAAATAAACGTTGGAAAAAAAAATTAAAAAAAAAATAATAAATAAAAACTTTCTTGTCAAAGGGGAATAAAATACATCTTATGTAAAAAAATAAGCTAAAAGGTATGTTTACCTTTTGATTTCAAATAATTAAAGCTGATACTTACTGAGCATTTAGTATGTACCAGACACTTTTTTTCTGCACATTATTTCATTAAGTTCTCACAATTTCCTAAAGTAAATCATTACCATTTATCAGATGAGAAAATGGTTAGAGGTTAAAGAACACTGCACAGGGACTAGTTGTCTGACACTGGGCAATACTGTCATTCTTTCTCCAAATACTTTTTCAATTGCTAACAAGTAGGAAATCTAATACCTAAGTCTCACTGAATTTCATCTTTACTTCTCTCCTATCCAGGGCTTGTTGGGGAAATGTTAACACACAGCAACAAAGAACAATAGTAGATAATTAATAATCTAAGATAACTAAGAGTTAGCCATACAATTAATTATAATTATACTGAAGCTTATTTACGTACCCTTTGTCTTATATCAAACTTTGAGTTCTTCTGCAGGAAAAACATGATTTTTTTTTTTTAATTTTTTTTCAACGTTTATTTATTTTTGGGACAGAGAGAGACAGAGCATGAACGGGGGAGGGGCAGAGAGAGAGGGGGAGACGATGGGAAACCAGGCTCCAGGCTCTGCTAGGCCATCAGCCCAGAGCCTGACAGGAGGGCTTTCGAGCTCCCAGGACCTTGTGAGATGTTGAAACCTGTTTGAAGTGGTAGGGGCAGCAACGGACATATGCCAGGCTAGGAAAAACATGATTTTAATTAAATATCAAATGGGTAGTTAAACCTCTATATTATTTTATTATTACATTACATTACACTTTGTAGAAAGTTGGAGCACATGTAATTATTCAGGTAATCATTCCTGTTTATTTCACTTACACACATATTTACAAGTCTACACAAAATGCACAAATGTAAATACAGTATTTTTTAACTTCCTGTTTTGTACCCTTAAAGCATTGATTTCTTGGACCTAAGCAAAAGTAACTTTTAAGTAATCACATTAGAAACTTTTATAATTAATGCAATCATAATTGAAGAATGTCATGATTTTTTAATTGAGAAGCCTTTATTATTGAAAATATTTGTTATTACAGTTTACTTACACTGTAAATTTAAACAAAGAAATAAGTAAGGCACTTCATATTGGCTTCTGAATTTGCTGTGTCTTGCCTACAACCAAACAAATTACTCTGGGTATATCCTGGATGAGTCTCAAAGCAAGAGTTTGGACTTTATCATTGGTGCCAGTCCTAATTTTAGAGAGAGATACAAAGTTCTTAATCTGGAGACATTTAAAATGGCTTTTGTAGTTTTCTTCAGAAAGGGAATAGGCTCTCAAACTTTAGGACTATCACAGCATCCTTTAAATACATCACAACTTTGGTACAAAACGTTTACATTCCATATCTTATCAATGTACAAAATAACAGTGCCACTGATATCATGGAACTTCCTGGGCAATGGAATGAATTGCTAAGCCTTGTCAAAATAGGCATTTTCCATCTCCTTTAAAATGTTAGAATTGTCCAACTATAAATAAAGAATGCAGTTTCTTGCCATGTATTGCCTCCAGATTGACTACTGCCTAATAAAGCACAAATTTCATAGACAAGACTTTCCTTGTTTCTTCTAAAAAAAAATGTATAAAATGGAAAACAATCTTATACTGAAGTCTAAATTATAGGTAAGAAAAAACAAAAACCAAGGGACACAGGAAAGTGGTGAATTTTCAAACATTGATTAACTTACAAGATTTGCAGGTGTTTCACTGGTTCACTGTTTTCTATATTTTAAATTGTAATGTATTTTAAATATTTAATGTATTTAAGTTTTTAAGTAATATTTTAAATTAATAAATAGAATTTTCATATGTTAGATTTTTCTCATTTGTATCCCTTTAAAGTTCACATTTTCATTTTAACTTTTCTTTCAAAACATAACTCAAAAATGGATAAAAGCCCAATGGGAAGTTTTATTTACACGGTAGAAAAGTTGAAAAGAAAATAAGACACATTCTTCACAATTTCAGAAGTGACAAACATCTAGGATATTTCAAGTGGCTTCCCATCTCCCTGAAAGGATTTGATTATCCGATATAAAGTTTTATAAAGTAATCTTAATAGCCAGAGTAATGTTAATGTGCTCTGGGTCTAGTTGTAATTGAATCCTTCTTAAAATATAACGAAAGAATGATTGATTTGGTAATGTTGAAACTATTGATTAAACAGACCCCAACAATGGTCATTATTTTAATGGAAATATTGACAAGCAATTATAGTTGTAGATTCTTGTTTCTTATTATCTTCCTGATTTTTCAATTCCCCAACGTAAAGGTGCGGGGGGGAGAACTAACATTTTTCCTCCTTTTCGAGAAATGGCATGATAAAGAGAAGACCTTTGGAGTATAAACACAATTGCAGACGTTTAGAAGTTGATGGCTTTAAGATTCATTTTGCTGCTAAGTTTTTGTTTCTTAAATCAATATGTGTTTTCCCTTACAATCCCCACGCCACTTTGCTGTAGCCCTAGTGCATACGTACCCCCTACCCATTTCTGACTGTTAACTAGGCTCCTGCCCGCAGTGTCAGCGTCACAGGTCCCTCGCTCCCCGCTCGAGCAGGAGCCCGCAGAGTCCAATCCCCCAGGATGCCGAACCTGGGGTCGCTCGCCCGTGCTGCCAGTCCCCGCGGCCGACTCAGCTCCAGGCCCTCCGGGAGGATCTGAGGCCTGTCCTAAAACATCCCTCAAGGGCATTCCTTTTGCTCCTTCATTCAACAAATATTCAATTTCACATGCTCCTCACTCTTCGGAAAACCAAGTCGAGCCTCACTTTGCAAGAGTACTGTCCTCGTCTTGTTAAAGACACGGTGAAGCCGGGGAAGACGAACTTCGGCCATTACTTAGCAAATACCTTCCCGATCGGCCGAGCGCATTACGCCATCTCTCTTCCCTTAATCCTTCACTGCCCCCAGGAAAATATTCGTGGCAAACAGCGACCACGGCCACACTCTGCTGTTCTTGCCTCCAAGCCAGCCTTACGCCAAGTTCCTCCACCACGCGAGGGGCTACCCTCTCCCCAAGCCAGCAAGAGAGGCTTGCGGCCGCAGCCGGGGCACCCTGGAACCACGGCCGGCAGGTCCGAGTCCAGGCCTCACACACCTCTAGGCTGGCGGTGCGTGGCGGCGAATCACTGCCGAGCGTCGCAGCCCAGGGGTCTCAGCGGGATTTTTCCGTTCCGCCGGGAGGCTGGATCGCCCGCGCCGCGCAGCGGAACTACAACTCCCAGCACCGCCGTTGCCCGGACTTCCGGAAGCCGAAGCCGGGCGGGGAGGAAGCCACCGAGACCCGGCCAAAAGGCCGGGGGTTAATTTAGCCAGAAAAAAGGGGGCGGGAAGGGCTGTGGGGCTAACCTGTCAATTCGCTACCATGAACGTGGTTTTTGCTGTGAAGCAGTACGTTTCCAAAATGATAGAGGACAGCGGACCGGGTATGAAAGTACTTCTCATGGATAAAGAGACGGTGAGTTTGCTTTGCTCAGCATTTGTGAGGGAACCCTCCCTCCCTTACGATAGCTACTCCCACTCCGCTGTAGGATTTAGTATTTATGAAAGGTTTTGAAACGAGGGTCAGTTCTGGATGGAACTGAAAGGTGGTATAAAGCTTGTCTAGTAGGTTTTCGGTCTAAATGGCTCTACCATCTACTACCAGAGATTTCTTCTTGTAACCCGGAACAATTTATTGGAGTCAGGAATCCTTTTCTAAATGTCTCTGGCAAGAAATAATATGTGAGATAGAGCACTTGGAAGACTTTTATTTCCACTCAGCGTTGTGTTTTTAAAATAAAGCTATTAGTGCTCAAGCTGAGATGACAGGTTATTATTTGTTGGTCACAGAATTATTTTTCTAAAAAACTCTCTAAGGTGATGGGGAAAATTTTTTGTTTTGGAAATGTATGGATTGTGTTCAGAGAGAATATGTTGTTCATCCTGGTACCTTACCTATATGTTTTGGATGCTCAGTAAGTGTTATTACATATGTTAGTATTTAAGTTATCCAGCTAAGTATTAATGAAAAATAATTTTTTAAGTCTTAAGTATTGTTGCTTATTTATATTATTTCTAACTAGCATAATATTAGTTGATTCTTTTTCTTCACAGACTGGCATTGTGAGTATGGTATACACACAATCAGAGATTCTTCAGAAAGAAGTGTACCTTTTTGAACGCATTGATTCTCAAAATCGAGAGATCATGAAACATCTGAAAGCAATTTGTTTTCTTCGACCTACGAAGGTACTACATAAACTGAGCTGTCATCTGCCTAAATACAGAACACTATGATCTGAAAGCATTAAGAAGGCAAAATAAATTTGTATTATCGTCATTTGTGGCATCATATTTAACCGGCTTCATCAGAGTTATAACCTTGACTTCTCCTTTCCACATCTCAGTTCACTCCTTATAGCCTGTTTTTCCTCCAAGATGCCTTTTAGGTTCTTAGCCACTTCCAGAGCCACTATCCTGCCAGAGACGCACATCACTTCCTGGATTAATTCCTGGATTAACCTCCATACCTATTACACTGAACACCATTGCCACTTAATCTTGCACGCTTATATACCTACACCAGTATCTTGAGTCTGTATCATTTTATTTGCCTCTATGCACAGGAACATATAATGGCTCACTTTTACTTCCATGATTAAATCAATATCTAGTAGCTCCGTCCTTGAAATCCTCCTTTAGCTGGTTTGGTCTGCCCTTATGTATACAGCCTCCTGTGTCCAATCTCTGCTCCTCCACTACGGCCAACTAGGCCTTTTTATCATCCCTCTACATGCTCATTCCTGTTCTCTATTTGTTCCCCTCCCCTAATTCTCCATTTGTTCTTTAGCCTTCTGTCCATCTTCATCCATCATCATATAAATCTAGCTTGAGTCCTCCTGTAAAAATCCTGTACTATTCCAGGCTTATTTTGTATATTTCCCCTTTTTTTTTTTCAATATTTATTTTTGAGAGAGAGAGAGTCAGAGAGAGAGAGTGTGAGCAGGGGAGGGGCAGAGAGAGAGGGAGACATAGAATCTGAAGGAGGCTCCAGGCTCTGAGCTGTCAGCACAGAGTCTGACGCGGGGCTTGAACTCACGAACTGTGAGATCATGACCTGAGCTGAAGTCAAACACTTCACTGACTGAGCCATCCAGGCGCCCCTGTATATTTTCTTTATATTCATGTTCGCCAACTCCAATGAGCTGTTTTACCATGCTTGTATATTATGTACTTTCTGAAATACAAATCTGCTCATGTCATCCCCACTTGAAATCCTTCAATGACTTTTCATTGTTTTTATGCTAAACACAAAACTCCTTAATTGTGGTTCTGTATGGTCTAGTTCCTGTCATTTGTACAGCCTCATTTCAAACCACTCCCCCTTTTGCTCTTAGATACATTAATCTTTCAGTTCACTTTATTCTGTCATGCCACAGGACTTTTGAACAGACTCTTCTTTCAACCTGGATCTTACTCACTTCTTCCAGAAAGTCTTCCCTGGTTTTGCTGACCAAGCCAAACCCCCCTCTTACAAGCACTTACAGCACCGTCTTCTCCCTATTGCTTGTCATAGTCTAAGTTTCATATGGTTTGTGTGATTAATATCAGTCTTACCTACCAGCAGTAAGCTCCATGAGAACAGAGGTGATATCTGTTTTTTCACACTGCTATGTCTCCAGTGCCTGCTACATAGTGGACCTCAATAAACAGTTCCTGAATGAATGAATGCTTTAATACTGTATTATAGTCATTTCTAGTTGTTTCACATTTGTAGGTCTTTTGAAATTTTGGTGCTGAGAGGGATCTTAGAGATCATCTAGTCCATTTCCTAAGATTTTTCGTGAGAAAACCTCTTTCACAGCTATATATATATATACTCTCTCAAACTAAAAATGATTTATCCTTAAAATTATAAAGTTAACTTTCAATGTATTTTTTAATCTAAACGACAATTTTAAAAACCTTTTACCCATTTAACAAGTAATGTGCATTGCTTACGTTATTTTTAATTCTTTAAAGAAATGTGTGATTTTTTAAACATTCAATACTATTTTATATCATGTCTAGATTGGGGACTAAATTCATATTGAAATTTAACTTGTTAATAGTTAAATTTCTATCGACAATAGATTAAAAACCTGCATTATGATCTTAAGTAATTGGAATTCTTATGTTTACTTCTAGATTTCATATTTATTTTTAAATAGTAGTCTTAGCCTACTGTGTGCAAATACTTCACAAACATTACAGTTGTACAATCTTAGGTCCCAATAAGTTAAAAGCCAAAGTAAATACAATTAAGTATATTTTCTCTTGAATGTTGGTTTTTAAAGAATTAGCTACATTTTGATAGTCTATATAAGAATTTTGATTAGGGGGCGCCTGGTGGCTTAGTCAGTTGAACGTCCTGACTTCAGCTCAGGTCATGATCTCACAGCTTGTGGGTTTGAGCCCCGCGTCGGGCTTTGTGCTGACAGCTCAGAGCCTGGAGTCTGCTTTTAGATTCTGTGTCTCCCTCTCTCTCTGTCTACCCCTCCCCTGCTCATGCTCTGTCTCTGTCTCTGTCTCTCAAAAATAAACATTAAAAAAAATTTTTTTTAAGAATTTTGATTGGATGAATAATTTACAGGCCAGCAGCCTGAGGCAAATTTGCAGAATTACTATCAATTTTATGTTGTAGTTCCACATTTGTGTTTTTAATATTTTTTTAATGTTTTATTTATTTTTGGGAGACAGAACACGAGCAGGGGAGGGGTAGAGAGAGAGGGAGACAGAGGATCCAAAGCGGGCTCTGTGCTGAGGGCAGAGAGCCTGATGCAAGGTTCAAACTCACAAACTGTGAGATCATGACCTGAGCTCAAGTTGGATGCTTAACCGACTAAGCTACCCAGGCATCCCTGTGTTTTTAATATTTTTAAATCTTAATTTGGCCAAGGTAATACAGCTAGTTAATGTTATAGTTGATTCCTGAATACTTAACGTATCTCTTTTTCACTGCCAGCCCTCACCCCTGCAATATACAAACACTTAATCTAGACCTCAGCACACAGTAGATTTTCACTAGATACTGAAATAAATCAATGGATGATATTTATTAATTTTTTACTTAAATATATGAGTTCTCCTCATATATTATTTGTTTATTTATTTTTTCCTTTCTAGGAGAATGTGGATTATCTGATTCAAGAGCTCCGGAGACCAAAATACAGTATATATTTTATTTGTAAGTATATTATTTCACCTATTCAATCATGTAACTGTATCCTAGATAGTTTTTTCCTGTTAGGTGCTTCATATCATCAATAAGTTAAGTGAATCCATCTCTATATAAGTCTGATTTTTTTAATGTCCTTTCAAAGTATTAAAAGTCTTATGGCTAACATTCTATTTTAGAAAGCTGAGCGTGACTTTTTTCATCATTGATTAGGTAAAATTATTTTTTAAGTTTTCCTTTGCCTTTCAAGATTCTTTGCAAGGCAAAAGTTGTAAGTAGCCAAATTTCACATCCCACCTCTGCAAAAAAAAAAAAAAAAAAAAAAAAAAAAAAAAAAAAAAAAAAGAAGAAGAAGAAGAAAGGGTACACTTATTCCCTATTTTGTACTTTCATGAACTGAGGCACAGAAGCTGAATTACTTGGAGGGAGGATATACTTGAGTGTGTTGGAAAAGCAAAGATTTATTTTACATACCAGATGAAAACATAACACTTCTTGCTACTTTATGTAATGGTTGAAAGAACAAGTTATTCAGTAGATACCTCTTATGTACATAATTTGTGGGGGGGAGTTTGGGGAGGGTACAGTCGTGGAAATAAATTAGGTTTGCAGTTACTATACATTTTATATGATTTTTTATTTTTTTATGTAATACATTCTGCTTTAGAAGTTACATCCATTCTCCTCTAGATGTCATTATTGATCCTTATAGGATTAGTAGGTATAGTTTATCTGGTGCCATTTCCAAAACAAAGACAAAACTTAATTCTCAGTATGTAGGACATTTGAGAAATTTTAAAGCTTGCTTGAAGGCTTTTTAGGGTTTAGATTATACTCTAAGATATACATACTTTCTATGTAACGATATGCAACAATATGCAACAATAAATAATGGTACCAAAAATTAATATTTGTGGGGCACCTGGGTAGGTCAGTCGGTTAAGCATCTGACTTTGGCTCAGGTCACGATCTCACGGGTTCATGGGTTTGAGCCCTGCATCAGGCTCTGTGCTGACAGCTCAGAGCCTGGAGCCTGCTTCAGATTCTGTGTCTCCCTCTCTCTCTGCCCCTTCCCGGCTCATGCTCTGTCTCTCTCTGTCTCAACAATAAATAAACTCTAAAAATAAATAAGTAAAATAAAAAAGAAATTTAAAAATAAAAATTAAAAAGAAATTAAAAAAAGAGAAACTGCTAAATGTTTTCTAGAGTGACTATAAGCCAGATACTTAAGAAAGTGTAGAAACTTGTACTCAATGACATATATATGTATATGAGAGAGATTCCCTGTATTGCTGAATTTAAGCAGACACCTAATGGAGTCACTCTTGTGCTGTCTCTCAGTTAAAAATTGAGTAGGTCACAAGATGAAAGGCTCCCTTTTCCTCTAAAGAGTTCTTTGATACAGCAGTTAAGACTAATAACCAATAATAAATCTACTGCCTAGTCTCCTCGTTCTTTTTTTATTTTGAGAGAAAGAATATGACTGAGGGAGGGGCAGAGAGAGGCAGAGAGGGAATCCTAAGCAGTCCACTCGCTGTCAGCACAGAACCCGATGCAGGGCTTGAACTCACAAACTATGAGATCATGACCTGAGCCGAAACCCAAGAGTCGGATGCTTAACTGATGGAGCCACCCAGCCACCCCTCATCTCATTTTTTTATAATTTCATTTTTGCATTTTTATGTCTACTAAACATCTTGTATGATAGGCTCCTCCCTTCCTTTATTTAAATAAAAACTATTTCTATTATGGAAGTTTTCAACTATATACAGAAGTAGACAATAATATAATAAATTCCAGTATACCCATCCCCCAGTTTCAAACATTGCTTTGCCACAGCCTGTCTTGTTTTAGCTATGGTGCTGCCACCTACTTCCACACCAATGGTATTTTGAAGGAGATATAAGACATATGTCATCCCTAAATATTTCAGTGTGCATCTCTAAAAGATAAGGACTCATTTTTAAAGATACCATTATTATTCCCAATAATGACAAATGATTCCTGTTTTCAAATACTCATTCATTGTTCAAATTTCAAACTCTTATTTTTCCCCCACTGTTTTTGTATTTGAATTAGGATCATAGTAAGATCCACACATATCTATTGGTTGATATGTTGTTTCAGTTTCTTTAATCTTCTTTAGATGTTCTCTCTCTTCCTCTTTCTCTCTCTCTCTCTCTC